TCCCAACAGCCCCCCTCTTCTCCTCTCCCCACCCCTCCACCCCATCCCAACCTCCTGCTCCCCAATAGCCCCCCACCCCTCCCCAACTTTCCCCTCCCCCTTCACCCTCCCTCCCATGCCCCCTGCTGCCCCCCCGGCTCTCACATGTCCAGGTTCTGTTTGGCTCGCTCGATGTCCCACTGGATCTCGGGGGTGATGTAGAAGTACAGCTTTGGGGGCAGGGGCAGGGGCGTCATGGGGGCACGCGCCGTGTCGGGGTCCTTGCTGCCGGAGACCCCCGGGTCAGATGGGAGGATCCCCCCCAAATCACCATGCTGGGGGCACATCACTGCACCCCAAAAACAGCCTCCCCAGGTAGCATATTCTGCCCTTTCCCCCGCCACAACCTCCCTCCCCTTCCCAAGGCAGAAGGTTCCACCCCTTTCCCTACCCCCCAGGCAGGAAGTCCCGCCCCTTTTCCCATTCCCAAAACAGGAAGTTCTGCCCCTCTCCCCCACCAGCCTGCTCCAGACCCACAGAGGTGGTACAGGGGATCCCTCACCCCAATTCCACTCCCCCACACATGCTTCCCATTTGGGGTCCCTCCACTACAGGACAAAAACAGGGGATCTGGGGCTGCTGCTCCCTGAGAATGGACCTCCAATTACCCTCCCACCAGTTCAGGGGCTCCTCAACACAGGTGTAATGTGGGGTACAGGGAATGCCATGCCATAGGGAAGGGTGAACCCCACACCCCATGTTGAGGAGCCCCAACATTGGCACATTTGGGGTACTGCCTTGTGGGGAGATAAAACCCCCAAATCTCCCCCTTCTCTCCATTATAAGGGGGTCCCTAATTCAGAATATTGGGGGGCTGCCTTATAGGGAGATGTGACCCCCAAATCCTCTGTTTCCATTGGGTCCCCCCAGGCTGGCCCTGTGGGATTGATCAGGGGGTCAAAGGTCTGGGGGCACCCTGAATGTCCTAGTTTAGAGCTTACCAGTAATCAAGGACATGGTCGATGATGGTTGCTATGGGGGCCCCGTCGGCCACGGCCTGTTCATACAGCACCCCACAAACGCCGTCCTCCCCCAAGATGAACTGGGGGCAGGGAATGAGAGAGCAGGTACACAAGACAGGAAATCCCGCCTATCCCCTTCCACCCTAATCCCAAAACAGGAAGTCCCGCCCCTTTTCTTGCCACAAAACAGGAAGTCCTGCCTCCCTACACACAGTCCCACCCCTGCAGTCCAAACTAGGAAATCCTGCCTCCCTATCTACATTTTCTTCACCGCCGGAAAAGTCCCGCCCCCACCCAACACTCCAAGACAGGAAGTCCCGCCCCCTTGCTTCCAAAGCAGGAAGTCCCACCCCCATCTCACCTGCAGGGTCTTGTCGAACCAGCGGTTGCCGCTGTTGGAGTAGCTGCCGCCCCCGTGCAGCATCTGGGCGGCGACGCGGCTGGGGTAGCGCTCGTCCGACACCTTCAGCACCGGGGCGTCGAGGCAGACGGTGAAGAGGCTGTGCTGGATGCACCGGGCCGACTCCCGGTTTAGCCGGTCTGGAGGCGGAGTCACCGGACGGGTCAGCACCACCCCCTCACACCAAGCAGGATTCGAACCCAGAACCTCCCTGCTTTGGGGTCCCACCCTTGTTACACCCCATTCACTGCTGTCCCCCAGGCATCGGGGTCCCCCTTTAGCCCCTTCCAAAGCAGGAAGTCCCGCCTCCTTTCCCCCTCCCCCATTACATCTTGAGATTACCTGGACCCCCAGCCAGGTCCCCCAGGCCAGGGGGCCCCCCCGTACCTCTCACAACGGTGCTGCAGACCTGGCCCAGCTTTTGGGGTCCCCGGGCCCCCCCGTACCTCTCATGAGGGTGCTGTAGGCCTGGCCCCAGGTGTGCCGGTGATCCCCCGTCAGCACCCCCAGCGGCTCCTTGTCCGTCTTCCACGACAGCCCCCGGACGCGCTGCAGCTGCAGGTGCAACTGGTCCACGGTGAGGGGGGTCCCGTCGCTGTTGTACACCTCCACCTGGAAAAACTGGGGGGGCGGGAGTCAGGGTCAGCCTCCGCAGGGCCCCCGGAATCTGCCCAGTGACCCCCCCAGCCGCCAGGGACCTCCCGGAGCTCCCGAGGACCCCCCGTCCCCACACAGACACCCCGAAACACCCCATTTCCCCCCACATACAGCCCAGAACCCCTCAGGAGTCAGCCAGCCCCACTCCCTACATGAACACCCCCCAGGTCCCCCCACCCCGGGAATCCCAGACACGGGGCTGTTCTGGGGGAGTCAGAGGGGGAGGTGCAGAGGGGCCATGCCTGGGGGTGACCTGGACAAAGGGGGGCTTGGGGGTATCACATGAGGGGGTTCTGGGGGGCACATTTCCCACGGGGTCCCAGGGCAGGGCCGGGTCTGGAGTCCCGGGGGGGAGGGGGTCCCGCGGCAGGGCCAGGTCTGGGGTCCCGGGGGGGTAGTCCCACGGCAAGGCCGGGTCTGGGGTCCCGGGGGGGAGGGGGTCCCGCGGCACGGCCGGGTCTGGGGGTTCTGGAGACCCCAGGGCAGGGATAGCTCTGGGGGGCTGGGGTCCCGGGGGGGAGGGGGTCCCGCAGCAGGGCCGGGTCTGGGGTCCCGGGGGGGAGGGGCTCCCGCAGCAGGGCCGGGTCTGGGGGTTCTGGAGACCCCAGGGCAGGGACAGCTCTGGGGGGCCGGGGCCCCGGGGGTACCTGGAAGTTGCGGACGACGGTGATGAAGGTGGGGGCCCGGCGCCCCGGGACAGGCAGCAGGAGCCCGTCATGCTTGGGGCCGGGCAGGCGGCAGGAGGCGAAGAGGCTGCTGTACTGGGCCATGCACTGGGGGTGCCCCCCCCGGTATCCACCAGCAGCGCCTGCC